TTGATTGCCCGGAAAAATTGATTCAATAGCCAAAAAAAGAAAAGTTTTTGAAAAATTAATACACATTATTTTTTGTGACGTATTTTTTTATTTTTGAGTGGAGCCGATATAAATAATTTAAATTTTATTGTTGATGATTTTAATGATTTTCTTTTATATTTTCTGATATAATTTATTGAATTTTTATTGAATTTATTGAATTTATTGAATATAACTATAACCTTTTCTTGCAGCTTATGGTTAGATATGTCAATTTTTATAGTATTTAGTCGATAGTTTGCTGATTTGTTTTCTGACGTATGTTTTTAGTATTTTTCTGATGTTTTTAAGATAAATGTTTATTTAGTTGATTCATTTATGAGTTTCTTTATTGGTTTCGGGTTAAAACTTATTGGCGCCTATTTTTTTTCAGTTTAGCTGTATTTAGTGTCTTTCTTCGGCAAGATTTTACATTTTTTGTGATCTAATTTATTTCTTTTTTTTATCTATCTGTTTTTAATCTAAAATTTTTTACTATATACATCCTTACCTACCCCAATGAAGCTCCTTGACAAGATCAACGTGGTCTTCGCTAAGTATTGGTTATGAAAAGCATTTTATTATCAACTTCTGTCCAACAACCTTTGCCGTTAGTCCAGCTGTCTTCCTTAATCTTCTTTTTTCTTGATAACTGCACAAATATAGCTATGTACACTAGTCCAGCCTACTTTATTTTTTATTTATTCTCTCAATAATTTATCTCTTTGTAACAAAATTCACACTTGGCTCTCTTATCATTCTGTTCCTTTCTACTTCTACTATCCATCTGTTGCACTCTAACATCATATATGTCACAATGTCTGAGCATCTGCAGTGTAGGCATTCATCTGTGTTAGCCTTTCTGAACCTGGAGAGGAAGACCCTAAACTATCCATGTCCTGCAAGCACCTGCGTTAGGAAATAATCCAGTCGCCTGTGATATCTTATGTTCGGGATCAGTTCACTGTGTTACATCCTTCGTCTTGTTTCAGTCTTCTTGCCATCTTTTAATTGATTTTTTCCTTTGCAGAGTATGCGACACTTGGGCCAGACAGTGTCACGTCACTGTCGGTAAGCATTGGATCTACATTACCGACCAACGCGTAACTTAGCATGGTTCCGAAACTTTAGTAGTGACCGAAACCATATAGGGGAGGGGATAACGTATACGTTAACACAACAAAGATGGCGGTGTATTGCCAAAAGAATACTAAGCTCGTAACGTCTAAATAGCTCAACGTACAACAACGTGCAAGGTTTCGTCGGAAACAGAAGGGGCCAACGAATACGTAGACATAGAAAAACATGGCATATGCCAATTTTATGACAAATAATAATTAATATGACAATATGCCATACAAACACAGAATAGTAGATTAAGTAATATTATGAGTATACAAGTAAGATATTTTAAAATAGACTATCGTCATATCAAGAAGACACTAACACGTATCATTGTTCATTTGGTTTGTAGAACGACATGTGAGGTGTCATAAAAAATAGAAAAAAATACGGTACGAAACGTATAGTTACAGAGGAAATTTGCAGATTACGTTATTGTTTACAGAATAAATAAAAAAAACAAAAAAAGTTCCCTTTCCTGTCTTCTCTCGGCCATAGTAAGGTTTGGGTGTCTTCTCTCATAAAGCTCTTTACTTTCCACTGCCAAATAATGCAATGGAACACATCCAGTAATGGTCTGGAAGGTTACCGCAAACCTGTAGGCGCATGCCATTCTCAACAAACTTGTTGTGTATACTTGTGTCATGAGCCTCCTGTAGGCCGATATCTCTACCGCCCCACTCCAGACTGGTGCCGCATAGCACAAACAAAACTGGATCACGGATAAGGTGTTACAACCTTGGTTTTTTAAATATTTATTTTTAAGCCATGATTTCTGCTTATCCTGCTTAGTCGAATCATAATATATTCGGGTACTTCTATTGATGAAGCAAGTCTACGGTATGATCACCATACCAAAGGAAGATCATTTTTCCTTATGCTATTTGATCTTATTAATCATTAAAGATGGTCAGCTGCTACACCTTGTTTTTAAGTTGAAGTCGTCAAACATTGGTTTTGTTATTTATATATGGCTTTTTTAATAGCAATATAACATATTATAAAGTATTTTTTTATTAAAAAAATCCTTTGTAAAAGGTATATATTACTTAGCCACTAAAAGTTGCACTTTGAAGCTGGATATTTGGTTCATCTCCCAATGTATAAATAACCAGGTCTTCCCTACTTTTTGTAAGTGAATATTAGAAAGTGCTTATTTCTCTCATTATTAGCCACATTTTATTTATTTTTACATTATTGAACGCCTTTAAGAAACCAAGAAGAAACAAATATGCTTCTAAATTGTTTGTGGCACAAGAATCGATTTTAGTCTGTAATTAATGATGATGAGAAATTAGTTATTTAACAATTTTTATTCGTAAGTTTTTTGTACAACGTATGGCGTAATGAAGTATTCGGCGAGTGACCAACAAATTTAGAAAGGAAAAGGCAATGAGATGGAGTCATTGCAAGCTAAAATATTTTGTTGCTTCATCGTAAATCTTATTTGTAAATAGTTTACATTATATTTTTTAGGTCTGCTGATCAATTATTTAATATTCTTTATTGTCTTCAAGTTCAGCTCCTATCAAAGGTTGGAAATCAATCTGGCAATTATAATTTAACTGCATTTCACCTCTTATGATGTGCCCCAAGTATTCCAATTTCCTAATTTTTGTGCATTTTATCCATCCACGATATTTTCAAAATACGTCGGTAACACCACTAAGCATTTCGAATGCTTTTAGGTCTTTAATGTTGGGTTTTTAAAGTGTCCAAGCTTCAATCCCATACAAAAGGTTAGAGAAAATATAACATCGAAGCATTCTTATCGATCGATATATTAATATCGCGATTACAAAAAAGTTTTCTCATTCTATTAGAAGTTGACCGTGCAATTTTAATGCTCCATTTTCTTTTGTCTGATCAGTATCTTCCGTGATCCATGCTCCAAGGTATTTGTACGAAGATATTTGTTCAATATCTGTATTATATAGTACTAGCTTAACTTTGAAGTTTTGTGCTTTTGTAAATACCATGAACTTGGTTTTCTTCAAATTTATTTTTAGTCCATAATCGTTGTTATATATATTAAGTTGCTCAGCAAGGTGTTGCAGTACTTCTAGTGTTCCTGCCAGAAGGACGGTGTCGTTAGCATATCTTATGTTATTAAGTAGCTCACCGTTTATTATAAGGCCCTCACTGATCTCGACATGCGCTAATTCTCAGATGGCTTCACTGTATGATTTGAATAACAAGCTTAATAAAATACAACCTTGGCGGACCCCACGGCGAATCCGGATATCCTCGGTCAGTTCCTTTTTAAGTTTTACTTTTGCTGTTTGGTTCCAATAGAGGTTACATATGATCCTAATGTCTCTACTGTCTATGTTTCTTTAAGCCGATTATGCTGTACTATGTCAAATGCCTTCCCAAAATCAATAAAACAGGCATATACTTCCTGATTTATATCTAAGTATCTCTGCAAAAAAACACTTACTGCAAACAATGCATCTCGTGTTCCCAGACCTTTCCTAAATCCAATTTGTGTATTACTTATGCCTTCATCTAATTTCTTATGTATTCTATTGTGATTTATTTTTAAAAACAATTTCAAGACATGACTCATTAAGGGTATAGTGCGACGTTCATTGCACTCCTTTCCATTGGCTTTTTTGGGAAGCAATATAAATGTTGATTGGACCATTGATTGCCATTCTTTAGGTATTACACCTGTTCTATATATAGTATTGAATAGATCCAAAAGAAGATTAACAGATTCAGTATTCACAATTTTGAGTAATTCGATAGGAACTTCACCACTCCCGGTTGATTTACCACCTTTAGCTTAAGTCATTGCATATTCAATTTCTTCTCGTATAATGCAAGGCCCCGTATCATCCTTAAATTTTTTGGCGCTTCTATTCTCCCCTTGTCTTCAAAAAGTTGTGCTATATATTGTGGCTATCTCTGCATTTTTTATTTATATCTATTATAAGTGCACCACTTTCATCTCTTAGTTGTCTAGTTTGAAGTGTTTTTCTTATTTCTCTTAATTCTCTAATTCGTTTATGCATGTTAAAAAAGTCATATTTTTTCTCAATTTCTTCTAGTTCTTGGCACTGCTCAAGAAACATTCTCTCTTTAGCCTCTTTTATTCTCTTTGTAATTATTTCATCAGTTTCGTTATATTTAATTGAATTTTTGGTTTTAAATGATTTTCTTCCATTCATTAATAGTAGTATATCTTAAGTCATCCAGTCTTTATGTTTTCGTTTCTTTGGTTTTAAGTTTTCATTTGCTGTTTTAATTATTGCTACTTTTATATTTTCCCATTTCTGATCAATGTTGTAGCTACTTTTATTCAGTTCTTGGGGATTACGTAGATTTTCAGTAAGAGTTTTTACAGTTTGTTCCTTTGTTGGGTTTGTGGTTCCCTTAATCTCTTAATATCAATTCTAATTTGTGTGGGTCTTTTAACCAGTTTCAATTTGGTTCGTAATATGACTACTATGGGGTTATGGTCTAAACCAATGTCTGCTCCAGGGTAAGTTTTGGCAGACAGTATAGAATTACGAAATCATTGTCTAATGAGCACAAAGTCAATTTTATTTCGGATTATTCTAATTCGTTGTATCACCGGGAGATTTCCGTGTAAACAATTTTCTTTTTGGTAGCTTAAAAAGTGTATTAGCTATTACAAATTCATCCGCCTGGAAAAATTGTATCAAACGGTCACCACGTTCATTTTTATTTCTTAGACCATATTCCCCCACATATCCATCCACTCTTCCCGGGCCAACTTTGGCATTGTAGTCGCCCATTACTATTGTAGTGTGATGTTTCTTCAAGTTTCAGCTTTCATGATATCTCTAAGATCATATTGGTATTTTTTAAACCTTTCGAAAATAAAAAAGTACAATATTTAAGCGTTTATTACAAAAATAATCACAAATAAAAATAATTTTAAACTTTAAACAACATTATTTTATTAAATTTAAGCATCTAGTTCATCTGTAGATTCACCTTCCACCATTATTCGTGCTGCTTCAGTAAATCTCTTACTAGCGTTTTTCTTTTTTCTTCTATTAGTTACTCCATCAGGTTCGTCCATCATTCTTAATATAAGTGATTGATCCGAAGTATCCAGAGGAGCAACTGAAATATCTCTGACTGCCCTAAATTTACCACAGTTATTGAGATGCTCATTCTCCAATCTGAAGTAGTTCCACATAAACCGTCTAAAAAATTAAAGACCTATTATTTATTTATATCAGGTTTTACCCGGTAAAACACACAATTAAAAATCATTGCATTAAATTTCTGTATTTATTTTTGTTTAAAGTAAATAAACATGAAAAAGTAAATAGGCAACGTATCTAATATCTAATATCTATAATTTGACGAAAAAATATTTCATACGCTTTCACAAATAACAGAAATTGAAATGTGCTTAATTAAAATTAATAAACTTTTGGAAACAAATCTTTCAATTCTAGGCTGTGTATTTGAGACACATACAATTACATCATTTTCAAGTACGAGACGATTTCTAACTCCTGTTTTAATGGCAGTCATAGACAAGAAACTTAACTCACACAAATATGATGTTACAAATGGAACTAAACATTTTACAGCTTCACTCGCCAACTGGGGGTATTCCTGCATCTTTTCGGTCCAAAATTGGTCCGAGTTCTGGGAAAAAAATTGGAGCTTCAACATTCCATCACTTGATATTTCAATAAGTTTTTATTTCATGTTTATTGGTATTTCAACATGCTGAAAGGAATCGACTAAAAACGGATTTAGTATCCATTTGCAACTGTCGTAACTGTTTTGAATTTCTTCGGGGAAATAATCACAAAGCTGTTGTTTTAAATTGAACAAAGTAACATGCATGTCAGCAAAACCTTGTTCAAAATTTGTAGCACTGTAACTGGATACATTTTTCATAATTTCCTGTAGGCACTGGAATAAATCGAGTTGTTTTTTGCCAAGTGAGGTCGACCATACATCGATTTTTCTTAGAAACGCCTTAATTTTATCTGTGGCTGTAATTATATTAATGTCGCGACCTTGTAAATTACTGTTTAAAATATTTAATTACTCGAAAATATCAGCAAGGAAACCTAGTTTCAGTAGTCAAATAGGATCGGAAAATTGATTTTTATATGGGGACTTATCATCTTTCAAATGCATTAAAAGCTCTGCTCTTAAGTGAAATACTCTTTTTAAGACGTTGCCCCTTGAAAGCCACCTTACTTCGGTGTGATAAAGAAGATTTTCAAATAAAGCACCCATGTCTTCGCAAATTTTTCTAAAAAGACGGGTCTGCAAAGCTTTTCCTTTAATGGAATTTACAACTTTAATGATGGTTTTGCTAACATAGTCCATTTCAGGAGGTAAAGCTTTGGACGCAAGAGCTTCTGGATATAAAAAACAATGTCTCCATTTGGTATTATTTCTTGTAATTTGACGACAAGACCAGATTTATTTCCTGTCATAGCTTTAGCGCCATCTGTGCATATATAAATACATTTACCCCAGTCAATATTATATTTACTTGTACGTTTCACAAAAGTGTCGAGTAAACATTTTCCAGTGGTATTGGTCTCCAATGGGAAACAAAATAAAATATCTTCTTGAATGCCATTATTTGTATCATATCTTACAAACGTAATGAATTGGGCACCGTTAGATATATCTGTGGATTCGTCCATTTGAAGACAGAAGTACGTGCATTTATTAAAATTTTCCACAACTTGCGCTTGAATATCTTCTGCCATATCACTAATTCTTCTTTGTATAGTATTATTTGACAGAGGTATTGTATTAAATTTTGCAGCCACTCTTTCCCCACACATTATATGTACTATTTCAACAGCCGCTGGAAAAATCAGATTTTCGGCAATTGTGTGCGGATTACTAGTTTTGGCAACACGATAAGCAACTTTATAACTTGCTAATAATGCTTTTTCATTAGTAGTGGTTGCCAAGGGAAAACTGTCTTGCTGTTTGTGAAGGACGTTCAGCTTTCTTTCAAAGAATTCGACGGGCTTGTCTTTTTTATCTGGATGTTTGCTATTTAAATGTCGAAGTAACTTTGATGGCTTCGTGCTTTATTTTGACAAGACTTGTCCACAAATAACACATTGTGGTTTATTGGAACTAATGGTAAAATCATATTTAAGATATTCATCAATGTAGAATCTGTTTTTCTTTTTATTGCTGCTACTGCCACTTTCAGACGTAGATGGTTCTGCACTTCTTTTTAAAAAACTTATCCATAATTTATAATTTATCGTAGACGTAAATACGTAAACGGGAATATGTAAGTCGTAAAATATTTACTCATTGCTCAACACCGCGTTCGCCACCATAGGCTGTTTGGATTCGAACTGAAGTTTCGTTGCGCATCGCCGCTTATATAAAACCAAAACGAGGCGTTCCAGAGTGCCATCTAGTAGCGAGCGCTTTCGCGATTATCATGAAAGAGTTTTTCGATGTAGATACAAGCTAATATGTCGCGGTGTACAATGTGCAGTCGACTTCTTATTATTTATTTTTACTGTAAATGCTATTCTGGCAGAAGTACCTACTACTAATTACTAATGGGAAAGATCGCAATCATTAAAATAATTGTATTAAAATAAACTAATTGTTTTTGGTTGATATAAGGTTGAAGTTTAATTAAATCTTGCCCAAGTACTTTTGCTTAAAATAGCACCTTCATGGGCATTTTGTCATGGCGTTTGATGGTCAGTTGACGAAATGCCCCTGAAGATGCTATTTTAAGCGAAAGTACTTGGGCAAGATTTAATTAAACTTGTGCTCGATAATAGCCTTATTTTTCAAAGTTAATTGTTTTTGATTTCAACAGTAAAGTAAATTAAATTTGAGAAACCATCAATTAATTGTAAATTAGGCACGCTATTTCTGTCAAATAATATTATATAAATAAGTGGGGGGAAATTGGGTGGTCGAGAACAATTTTTTTAGTAAAAAGGGGTCGCGGTTTGGATAAGTTTGGGAAACTCTGGTATAAGATATGAAAAGCAGAAAATATAATGGGACCAATTTGTATTCTTGATTTTTAGATCAGGATTTTTGATCGCATGAGTTATTAGTCATATTAGTCTGTAATTGTCACATTTTCTGGTAAAATTTTTCTTATTATAGTAGAGTAATTGTCGCGGTCGTCTAGGCGAGCGCTCATTTTAGTGTTATGCTCATAAGTAGTGTACTACTATAAAGACAAATAAACATATGTTTTAAAATCTCAAATAGAATTTAATTACTAAAATGAAGTAATTTTATAGCAGCCTACATATATTCAACGTTATAACCAGTTCTCTTTCCTAATCATTTTTGTGGACGTCGATTTGACAGCTGGTCCATCTTGAGTGTATTGTTGTTTACGATACAATCGCAACCTCCCCACGGATTCCTCTATATCCTTCTCAATTTTTTTGTTAAGTTTTATAATATAAAATTACTAGTCAATTTGTACCACTGCACTCCTTTAATTAAAAAAATGTAATGCTGTAATGATAAAGTAAAGCAAAACAAATTAAAATCTTACCTAAACACTTCAAGTGGAGCCAATATAGTCACCATGGAATGTTCCACTGCAAATCCCATTTCTGTCATGGATATTAAAAATGCCCATCCAAAACGTAGAATAAAATCTTCTACAATTGCAAAGTAGTAAAACCACTAAAATAATTAATTATTTTTATTCTCGATTATTCCTTTTGAAGTAGATATATGCAGTTTATTATTTTAACATGAATAGTTTCAGTACACAAAGAAGTAATTTATTGAAGAAATCTAGATTTATAAAGAAATTATGAGAAAGTTACTGACTTCTTGTAAAACCATTTTATTGATAAAGCAACGAAAACTAGTATTCAACTGTTGACTATTTAATAGATTACATTGTATAAAGCAATAACTTTTAAAAAACGCATACTAAAACCCACTCAACTTCTTCTTTGTCTTCTTCTTATATCTTAGACCTCTTCTGGTCTTATCTTAAGCTTTTAGTCATATTTGTAACATTGACTGACATTATTCCATTGTCTTGCCATCATGTTACATTCTGGTTTCTTTGTCATCTTCTCCTTCTTTCCTAATGTATAATATGCTGTATTTTACAGAGATCTCCTTTGTAGGTGTTCGATATTCTGTATCTTAATGTTTTTCTAGCAATTTATCCCAAGAAGATGTTACCCAAGATTTGGACTCGGATGTACGTAGATGTGTTTATATTGTTTGTCTCAGCCACCTTTGAATATCTCTACTATTCGCACAGATCATCTTCGTCATCCTAAATAAGGATGGCGTCGCCTGTTGCACAACAAAAGTCCTTGCTGTCTGCTTTTGAAATCTCCTATGTGATTGATTGTCTATTACTAAGTTAAAAAGCTTTGGGATTAAGCTCTCTTCCCACCGTATTTTTGATTTGATATCTACTTCCCATGATAGTTCATTCCTGCCTTAAAGTTTTGTTATGTTGTTAGTGTTAATGTCTTTAATGGTCTTTAGTATTCTATTGGAATGGCTTTTTTTTAGTAATCAACACATCTTAGAATCTAACGCTGTCAAATGCTACTCAGATCAGCATATTAACAATTTTGTTACAGACAAATATTTTTGTTAATTTGCCTCGCTATAAATATAGCATATATTACTGTTGATCTATTTCATTACACTGATTCGTATCTTTCATTAATCTTATTGACAAATCATTACTTTCTTCTTCTTTTGCTTCTGTACTTCTACTAGGTACTATCTATATTGTAAAGTTCCTTTATACATTCTTTGTTCCACCCAACTCCACATATATTTAAAAAGCCGAAATTTTACAAAATTCACAAGAACGAATTCCTCCATACATTTCATCGTGCTCACAAACATATGGCAGTGGTTTCTTTAAAAAATGATTACCATGACCAGACTATTGATGGCAACGGCTATATTTAACATAGGACTCTACAAAGACCTTAATAACTAATAAAGCTAGTTTTTCTTCTTCTTCTTCTTCAAGTGCCCTGTCCGTTGCGAACGTTGGCTATTAACATGGCAATTTTGATCTTGTTTGCGGCGCTTCTGAATAGTTCGACCGATGTGAGCCCGAACCACTTCCGCAGATTTTGGAGCCACGAGTGTCTCCTCCTGCCTGGCCCTCGCTTACTGTCTATTTTTCCCTGGACAATCAATTGTAGCAAACGGTACTTATCGTGTCTCAATATATGGCCTAGATATTCAAGCTTTCTTTGTTTAATTGTATTCACGATTTCTTTCTCCTTTCCGATTCTTTGGAGTACCTCTATGTTGGTGACATGTTCGGTCCAGGATATACGAAGAATGCGTCGGTACACCCACATTTCGAATGCTTCTAGTTTTCTCGTTAGCGTCTCCGTCAGCGTCCAGGCCTCCACGCCATACTACGCCAAAGCTACTTCAAAAAAGGGAATAGTTCAACAATAAAAGCTTAGTAATATGGGAGAATAGGGTATAGACTGCTAAGCAAACTTTGTCTATCAGAAGTATCGCCGACAAAAGAAAATTACAAAAAAAAAGAAAAATACCGCAACTTCCTTCTCAAAATATTGTGGTGAAGGAAGTTAGAAAATGTTGTTAGTAATTATCAATAAAGCAGTAATCCTTAGGAATAACTCGGACGAACTAGTTTCTGAGACTGAATAAAATAAGACCCATAAGAGATATCAATAAAATATCAGGTGCTCCTCCATGACATGATGCAAATGGAAGTACTGTAACTTTCAGCAGATATGTGCTGAAGAATTATCATTTAACACCACAAAGACCATCTTAAAGAAAAAACCTATTAAAAAGTTATTATTTCTTAAACAAAATAACAGATTAAGATGGAGCGCTGAGAAATTCTAACCAGACTATTATTTTGAGACCTATTCTGTTTGGAGATCTGACCTGTGTAGGTTTCTTAAACTCCTCATAAGAAGTTAATAGTTTTTACCTAGAATACAGCACTTCTTCGTGTGGTTTAATTTTTGGTGGTTTTGTTCTCGGACGCGACTAGTTCACGTTCGAGACGCATCGCCCCGCCCCTTATTTTTCCCGTTGGCCCCTCCCTGACCTGGAAATCCCTAATCACTACGCCAGAAAGTATAAAAATAGGCGATTTTCAGGTCAATCAGTTCAGGGACTATTATACAAAATGAGAGAATACGGATACAGCGGAGCAATGACAAGGCTGATCTCTTCTTACTTGAGCAACCGGAGTTTCAGAGTCCGGATAGGACAAATCCTGTCCGCACTCGGGAACCCGGAGGCTGGAGTACCACAGGGAGCGGTACTGTCACCTCTGCTGTACTCGATATACACAGCAGACATACCAAGAACACCAGGTACACTATACACAGGTACACGTACAATAAGTCTCTATGCCGACGACACAGCAATAGCGGCCAAACACAGAAATGTAGACATAGCAGTCACCAATCTACAGACCGCGTTAGACGACATTGAAGAATGGAGTCTAAAGTGGAAAATTAAAATCAACTCAGACAAGACACAAGCTGTACTCTTCCAAAAGAGGCGAGAACGACCAGAAGAACAGGTCACTGTGCAAGAAAATCCCATTGAGTGGAAAAGCGAAGCACCTCGGAGTAATAATGGACAAAGGACTAACATTTAACAAACATGTAGAAGCTACGGTACAAAAAGCAAACATGGCAAGAGCCGCAATAAGAGGCCTAGCAGGAAGGAAGAGCAAACTGCGAATAAAAACCAAAATAAGACTAATAAATAGTATAGTCCTTCCCATACTAACATACGCGTCACTTGCATGGGGACACATATGCAACACAACAAAAAAGAAAATACAGGCACAACACAACAAAAGCCTAAGAGAAGCGGTAAACGTACCAAGATACGTAGCTGAAAGATTCCTATTCAGAGAACTACAGCAAATCAGAGTGACTGACGCCATGAAAGAAAAAGCCAGGGAAAAGTTCGCAGAACTAGAAAATCACCCCAGTCACATTCTACGAGAGATAATGAGGTATGACGCTTTCCACAGATGGAAGCACAAAAGACTAAAACAACAAATATTAGATTTACGCAAAACCAGAGGGAAAAATAAAAAACCCCCCAAGAGGGACAAAATTCTACAAAAAGCCCAGAGTGAGAAGAAAATCCAATCAAAACACACACACACAAGGAAGACAGTTCGTAGCTCAAATCGCCCAGAATATCGCAAATCGCCTCATACACAGTGGGTCCTGTTGCTCACACTAGGATACAGTCTATATTGTGGTAATGTATAATATTTATATATTTTCTTTATTATAATGTAGACTATATACTAATTATGACTTTTCTGTTCACAGGTGACCTACAAAAAGTCACAAAAAACACAAAAAAACTGCTTCGGCCACCAAAAAAAATCATAAAATACTAACAAAAACCGGCTTCGGCCACCAAAAAAATTAACAAAAACCCCTAAACCCGGGCACGCAGGGCATAACCCCCTTGAGCACCAAGTCGCCGAACTGAGCCGGGACTCAGAGCGGAGACTTGAGGCCCAAGTAAGCAATTTTAGTTCGCGGATAAGCTACATTAAGATAAACAGGAATAAAGCGGAGATGCGCTGTCCTAAGTTTTCACATACGGTTAGGAAACCATGTTGGGGTTCAATTACCCAGGACCTCCACATGAAGAGCACTTGGCTGATTGTTGTGCCTCTATAGCGAATCAGATTGCTATAGGGGGGAAAGGGATGGTCTAGAGCATTGGAGCACGATGGGGTGATTCCTGTTTTTAAACACGAATTAAATCACCTTGCTCCAATGAATTGTTACACCCAATCGTACTACCTGGGTGAACATTTCTCATAGGCTGGGTTCAATCAAATTACTTGCTTGCTTGCTCAATCAGTTCAGTCCTTCACGGGCTCTCCGAGAGCTTAGTGCTCTCGGGGCTCTGCTTTCTTTTTAGCTTTCCATACTTTATGGCTGAGTATTTATTCAACAATATTTGGTGTTTTATTTCGACTACTATTTAGTCATGTAAGAAATATCTTGCCTTTATCAAGGCAAGTCACCAAAGAAGACAACCTGATGGTTTATTTCAACGGAGAATTTTCGTCATATAAGAAATAACTCGTCTTTCTTAAGACGGGTCATCAGATGAGGAAACTTTTACAAGTCCATAACCTGAAAGGACTTGGGTAGAGGTGCTTTCGTAGACATTCTCGAAGCCCTCTACAGAGCACACGGTGGTACAGAAGGTGATTTAGACCCTTATTATTTACCCCGAGGTGACAGTTTGGTACCGTTCCCGTCATAAAAGACTGGTACAATTCTTATAATCAAAAATCGTGTTTAAGTTGTGTAAGTTGATCTTGTCAGATGTGTCATTCTAATTTCTAGGGCACCATTGCCAGTTCAACGAAAATATTATATAAAACCAGCTAAAAGCAGGACTGTGTGACAGACCGCCAGTTGTGACAATACTAAAAACTAAAACATTATCGAGCATTCTCGATCAGTTAGTCACATTAAATGTGTTTAAACATGTATCCTAAAAAATTCTCATATTAATTTTGTAATTTTCCATCACCTCAATTAATTACCATTGATTTGTAATTATTATGTAATTATCATTGATTTGTATTTTATAACAATTTATGAAAATATTTCAATTCAAAAATAATGACAGATAATCAACCTAGACAAATTTCAAATTATTATAATAAAATATTACAGTGAGATATTGGATTGAAACTGTCACGTTTTGAAAAGCGTTTTTTCGCCACGGATATTTTATAGTTTATAATACGTAGGATAAAGTAAAATGTTATTTTTTTACATTTATTGTTCCTATAATAAATAATAATTTAATCTTGGTAGTTTGTTACTAAACTTAGTGACACAAAATACAGTTCGTGTTCGGTAGGTAATTGAAGTATAAAATTACAGTAGGTGCATTCCAATGTTCCCTGTGCCCTGTGCCAATACCACAGGTTTAAAGATCCTGCAAACATTTTGGACAATAACTCAACCCTATCTTTGCTTATTTAATTTCTTAGATACGGTTTTTTGATGTTAATGATAAAAATATTACCTATCTAAAAATTTTATACATTTTTTAACGTTATTTTTTTATTTAGATTTAGTGCAATTCCGCTATCTGTATTGGCAACAACGAATTGATTTGTGAACACAGGTTTACATTGGGAAAAAAAAGTGTACCAGTTTTATCTGACGGGAAGTGTACAAAGGTCTATTTACCAAGTGCTAGAGATAAGTAAGATCTCGCATGATATAAGAATAATATTAAATAGAACCTTCATAAACTTTAATAAAGGCAAGTTATTCAATGAGGAGATTTTGTAGATGCTTTTGGCTTGATTGTTCCGGGATGTGAGGATGTGTGTGAGTTAATTGAGGGTCTGAGTGATGCACAAGACTTGGCTTGTATAAGATCAAATGGGAGGTATGAAAGAAAACAACCATACTGGTGGAACGAGCAGCTTGAAAATCTGAGGACAAACTGCATGAGAGTAAGAAGGGAGTGTAAGAGTTTAAGAATGGTATAAGCAGTAGATTTGGATGGAAGAATAAATGCAGAATGAATACAGGAATGAGATAAGAACTAAGAAAGAAAGGTAGAGTAACCTGATTTAGAATCTCGAAAGGGATATCTGGGGGCAGGGCTTCAAGATTGGCTGTACCGAATTGAAGAGGAAAACGACACCTTATTCCCTGCCTGAGGAGGAGAAACTCCATTTAATACGGGAATTTTTTCCTCAGGTGGAGGATAGGCGTGAAAGGGTTATTGATTTCGTAGATGCGAAACCTTTCACTGATACAGTAAGACTCGCCGCACTAAAATATCCGCAGGTTTTTCTGAGATTGCTAAACAAACTGTTTGGACAACAGTAGTTTCCAACAATGTTGAAAGAAGCTAAGGTTGTCCTTATCCCGAAAGGTAGAGGTAAAGAGGAAGAGTTGCGATTTCGGCCAATTTTCCTTCTTAGTTCGATACCTAAATTGTACGAACAGCTTATAAAAGACTGCCTTAAGCGACAGCTAGAAGAAAAGCATGCGCTGAGCGACCGCCAATATGGTTTTATGGCCAAAAGGTCCAACATAGATGCAGTTACAGAAGTAACCTATTTAGTCACGCATGATATAAAAAAATAGGTGGCTCTCATCCTACTCGACGTCAAAAATGCCTTTAATACGGCATCATGGGAAAAAGTCATATCCATGCTAAGAGAATTGGGCGTTAGTGAGTACCTGGTCAACGTAATTGACAGATTACTGACAGGTCCATAAAAGAAAAAGATACCATCATCAGTTTGTCGCAAGGTGTTTCGAAGGGTTCAGTACTAGGTCCCATCCTGTTGAATGTCCTGTATGAAGGCGTATTGAGGCTGCAGATGCCAAGAGGGTGCACTCTTGTAGCTTATGCCGATGATCTCGCACTGGTTGCGAAGGCGACTCAGAAAACGGACATGGCTAATGCGGCTAACACAGCCTTGTGTTGCATTAGTAGGTGGATCGGAGAGAACGATCTACAGCTAGCGCCTCAGAAAACTGAGGTATTAGTTCTCAAAGGGACCCAGGAAATATCCTCTCTTTGCTTTATCGTGGAAGGTGTGGAGGTTGCACCGGTAAAATCATTAAAGTATCTGGGAGTCTGGTGGTCGGAAGGTCTAAGGTTTGGAGTACACATCCAAAAGACAGTAGAGAATGCGAACCGAAATCTGGGGGCGTTGATACTGCTAATGCCAAACATTGAAGGTCCAGGAAGCACCAAAAAAAAGGTGCTAAATGGAAATTTTCAGTCGGTGGTAATCTATGCTGCTCCTGTGTGGTGTACTGTACTAAACACTGCGAAATACGCTAAGCTGATAGAGACTTCGCAAATGCGAATTCTGCTCAGAATATCTAGCGCATATAGGACAGTTTCAAATTAAGTTCTATATGTCATTGGAGCGGTGATACCGATCGTTTTCTTGTGTAAAGAGCGAGCGAGGATGTATTTTGAGAGGATGGATGTAAATATAGATCAGAATGAGAGAGAAAGAACGATAGTAGAGTGACAGACAGAATGGTGGAATGATAGTGGAAAGGCAAGGTGGACGAAGGAGCGTGTTCCCAATCTGAGACCGTGGTGGGAATGTAAGTCCAGGAAACTAGACTACTTCCTGACGCAGTTTCTGACCGTATATGGTAGTTTTGGCATCTTCACAAATAGAATAGGCAAATCTGCCTCGGTAGACTGTACTGTTTGTGGGGCACCGGACGCTCCCGCCCACATTTTTAACTGCCAGAGATGAGCAAATGAGGTGGGGGATTTTGAGAGGCAAATATGTTTAGAGCTGGATGAAAGAAACATTGTAAACATAATGTTGAGAGGAGAGAAAGAATGGAGAGAAGTACACTATCTGATTTTTGGGGTGATGAAGAAAAATGAGCAGGACAGAAGAGAAAATTGAGCCAGTGTTTTGAAATTCATAGTTAATATTATTTATTAGTTTATGGCCTAACGTCTAAACTTTCTGATTTACGATAATAGGTATTGTTATTTATAAATTTTTAGGTTTTTTATTTTAGTTGTTTATTGAGTGGCATGACCACCTCTCTGGAACCGTGGTTAAGGCTTTAGCCGGAACACGGTTAATCCGGCACTACCCTGGGGTCTTCTGGCCTAGTATCCTACTCGGCTGAAAGGTGCCAGGGTGTCTTGTTCCGTGACGTAGATGTCCGAAAAAGATTTCCCCCACCGTTGCCTGTCAGAATTCAATAGATATCTTCTTAGGCTCTTACTGAAGTTATTCAGTAAATTAAAAACCTTACCTTGAATTCTTTATTACAAAGTTATTATGAATATTTTTCTATCCTCGAGTTACTTAAACAGTTAAGAAAATTGATACTTGAGAAAGTTACTATTCTGTCGTAAGTTTTGGAACAACAAACAAAACATACTCTTACCTCTGTTATTGCTTTGGTATTGTACAATGAATTTTATTTATTTTTCTGATCAAAATTACTGTTCACTGTTTTTCTAACAACAATGACTTAATTTCTGCTAGGATAACACTTCCCGTGTATTTCTTTTATACTTATTAACCGATCGACTACTAAATAAATAAATTGGATAATGCCATATATGGAATGGCAAATAAAAACATATCGACATTTCAATGCTTAATGAAGTACTTTAATTGTGTGTAATTTTTCTGTAACACTATAATATTCTGATATAATACTAAAAATAAACACTGTGAATAATGCAAACAGTTGACCTATTTTTATTCCAAGAAAATAGCACCTTACAAAAATCTCTGAAAATGCCACGTTTCGCCTTATTCCACTCACTTTCAGTGCCTCTGGCAAAGTGAGATGTTGATTTTGTCACGTATGCGAAATATGTATGCTAATATGAAATAAAGAAAACTTAGTTACCGTCGAGGAATATACAATTTCTTCTCGGAGGAATTTGTTATCTCCAGCTTTAGCGTCGAAGAGCCCCCAGTCGAGCTTTATATCCCACGTGTATGCGTAACACGAACTTATCAAGGACGAGCCAATCCATAAATAGAAAAACGGATTCTCACCGGACTCAAATTTGTCTAAAAAAAATTGCTGGTTTAGAATAAATCGAAAATAAATTATGTAAAATTATTTTGTAATTGATCTTAATTTACTTTATATTAAAAAATATATTAACTAGAATTAATTTGAGATCTGTTTCGTTATTTATCCTTTGTTTCCATATTTGAAGAGGTCCCTCTAAAAACGTTGCAACTGACAATTTTTCATAAAGTGATGTTTTAATGTAAAATGGTTACTTATGCAGTTTAATATACAGTGGTGCTATCCTTTAGTCGCTAGTTAAATTAAACTATTATAATTTTTAGTACTGAAATTTGAGGTCAGTCTAAAAAGGTTACATATGTAAGAAACATGGCAGAAACAACGTCTATTTCTCCAATGTGTAGTGTTTTAAACAAGGCAAATAAGGGTAAAAAACGAGAAATACGCTATGACCAATGGCAGCAGGTAAAGAATAAAAGGTTAAAGGATAGTGGAAAAAGTTATATGGGCCACAAAAATATTGTAAAAGCCGAAAAACAGTGTCCAAATGAGGTGAGTCTAAAAACGTTACATGTGTATACTCTAACCTTAAATGTTTTTCCTGCGTTTTTGTTGTGTATTACAGCACGTCTATTTTAGGATTCAACTTGTTCGTTAACGTGCAACTATGATGGTTGTTCCGTGCTTAACCAGAATTTGGAAGTAAAAGTTGATATATTTAATCGTTTTACCAGTATTCTTATAATGAGCAGCAGCGATTCCTTGCAGAGTGTATGGAGTTAAGAGAACCTAAACGAAGGATTGTGCCTGAAGATATATCCAAACGCCAATGTACTATCAAGTATTCACTTCCAGTAAATATTATTGCTTCACAACGGCAGCAGGTATGTCAAAAACAAATTATATCTGTTTTGAATTTAACTCGGCGGAGATTGCAGCTTCTTGCAAGTAAAGTTAAGCAAGGTCTCAGCATCGACGATGGTCGTGGTAAACATAACAATAGACTACGAAGTATTCCTGATGCAGATCAAGAGCTTGTCATTACGCATATTTCTTCTTTTCCTTGCCAAGAAAACCATTATTCGAGAAACTCAAATAAAAAGAAATGTCTTGCTCCAGACCTATCCCTAACTAGAATGTACCAATTATTTAGAAATAAGTATCCTACCACAAGGGTGAAATTACACTTGTATAGATCAATTTTTCACGACAAATTTAACTTAAGATTTGGTGTTCCCAGATCTGATACATGTAAAGTTTGTGACAAATTTTATATACAAATGGTTGCAAGCCAGAATAATAAAGAGTTTAAGCAGCTACAATTTTAGTCAGAACTGCACCACAGAAAAGCAGAAAAGGCTTATAAAACGTTGGTAGAAGATACACAGGCAGCTATTGAAAATGAAAATTTGGTTGTTCTCTGCGTTGATTTGCAACAGGTCCTTTTTACTCCTAATCTAAGCCATTCAGATGTCTAATACTTGACCCAATATTCTAATTATAACTTTTGTATTCATAATATGGGGAAGAATAGAGCAACGATGTGTGTTTGGCATAAAAGTGTAGGAAAACGGGGATCAAGGGAAATTTTCTCCGCACTATTTCGCTACATTCAAAATAATTTTGAAATCCTGGGTCTACATCAGGAAAGAAAACTTATAGTATGGTCTGATAGGTGTGTAGGATAGAACAATAATTGGCGGATGGTAGCTTTGTATCATTACCTAGTTTCATTGCGTTATTTCACAGAGGTCAATCAGAAATTTCTAGTCACAGGACACAGTTTTCTTCCATGTGACCGCGATTTCGCCATTATTGAAAAGTTTAAGAAAACGGCAACCATTCATGATCCCCAAGATATTGTAAATATGATTAGGATTATAAGAGAATCGAATCCATTTGATATTTTGGAAATGGAAGGACAATTTTTGGATATGTCGTCGATTTAACTGCAGATCTATAAACATCCCGATATCAAAATTACTGAAGCTAGATGGATCCAGTTTACTTACGACGAACCAACTGCCATTCGTATAAGAACATGCCACATGCCACAATCCAATGCAGAACTGGATGGTTTATAATATAATAAAAAAAAACCCAAAGGAAAGATATCCCAAAGTGCCTCATTACCTGTGTACAACATAGTTGACCCTATCGATCTGCCAATCCTTTATACCTAATAAACTACCTATTAATGCCTCCAAAATGGCTGATCTTTTAAAGCTTATAGATTACTTACCTCCATATAAAAGAACTTTTAATCAATCGTTAGATAGTGCAGATCCAAATGTTATGTAGGATAAACACTTAAAAATTGAAAATAAAATAAAATCATACATTTTTTGTAGTGTTTATATTAATAAACTATTTGTTTAATATTACATTTTACCGTGCATTTATTTTTCCTGTAATACTCCTTTAATCTAAACTGCGTTTTGTTGTAAAACGTTTCAAGTACATAATTAATATTAGTTAGATTGAATGTAAAAACGTTACATATGGGCATGTGTATCATAACATATGTGTACATATGTTAAATTTAATTCTGTCTAATAGTATTAAAGTACATTTTAAAAATAAAAAAAATTACAGCAATCTTTAACAATAATGTGTAAGCATCATATAAACATATTTTTATTGTAACAGGGAAAGTTTCTATTGTTTTCTTCACTTCCTGTAAAAAAGTGATTTTGCTGTTTGCAACCTTTTTAGAGGGAGGTATTCATTTATCATTAATATGTATTTCTTAGTTAAACTAAACCTTTAAATCAGGTGTTATTTAAACCTCGTATGTGATTGCTCAAGTTTACCTCAGCTATTAAATGCAATCAACAAAAGTTGACTTCTATCTGTAACTTACGATGATTACTCAGTAAGTTTCCAGTTTTACCTTTTAATGGGCAAGAACCTGTGGTGACTTTGGTTAAATGTGTTTCATTATCATTTATTTATTTAGTTACGTAAAATATTAAGACCATTTAATGTTAGAATAAGTGAAGTGATCAATCTTATATCAAAAATAGGGAATTTGACGGATTTAAAATATATAATGAAAATATTTAATGGAAAGATTCAAGTAGTATAGTTTAGAAAGAGAAATACATGATAAAAAGAGAAAAATTGAAAAAGATGCTCTAATAAGATTAGATCTAGCAGCCATAATTATAACAGATAACAGAGTCAACATACTTAAGTACTGGTCAACCAACCTATTGGCCCAGCGACTCAAGAAAATTATCCGATCTACTCGACTTTTGGATAATTAAAGGAATTAGCTAAAATTATTTCCATTAAGTCTTCTCTAGATTTATCCTCGGACCTCTCGCCTATCATAAGGTCACTATTCAATAAAATTATTGAAAGACCAAGGCAAACTACTGTATACAAATATAAAACAAACTGGGTAGAAGTTAGGGAACACTTGAATGCACAAATTAGTCTGCAAATTCCATTAAAAACGCCACAAAAAATGAAAGATGTAAAAAAAATTCACAATCGCTATACAGAAAGCGGCGTGGGGAGCAATCCCGTTTAGTGACTACACTAAACCAGGAAAAAATTTTAAAACTACAGTTAAACAAAAAATACTAGAGAAAATGCAGCTACTTAAGATATCGAGATACGGAAGCGATAAAGCAAAACTAAACAGAGCTATCAAAGATCTAAAAAACTAACTAAATAATATCAAAAACAAATATATCGAAGATTACCTACGAGGGTGGATTGATATAAAACTAGCCTTTGATAGAAAAAACAAGTTTTTTGGAATTAAATCGATTTATTTCTCAACATAGTCGAATTTATTACTCAACCGAATAGTACTTTTGCTCGAGCTCTTCAAAATAAGCTGAAGTTTCAGCGACGACTTCTTCATTTGTTGCGAAACGGTGTCCTCCGAGCCATTTTTTTATGTTTGGAAACACAAGAAAATCGCTGGCGGCAAGATCTAGGGAATACGGTGGGTATTCAACCAATTTTTAGCCCAATTCGTGTAATTTTGCCATGGCGACGGCCGATCGGTGAACCGGTGCATTGTCTTGGTGAAAGAGCACTTTTTTGCGTTTCAAACCGGGGCGTTTTCGACGCAACTCGGCATCGAATCGATCCAATAATGCTGCGTAGTACTGACCATTGGTTGTTTTTTCTTTTTCCAAGTAGTCGATGTGGATGATGTCCTTCGCATCCCAGGCTTCGCCGGCTTTGCGCAACTGTTTCGACTGTTCTTTGGTTTACGGTGTGTAATAATACACCCAGGTTTCATCAGCGGTCATAAATCGGCCAAAAAAATCCTTCGGATCGTGCCGTATCTTCGCCAAAGCGTCTCCGAAGTGGTCACACGTTTTTGCATTTGATCGATTGTCAGCAAACGCGACATCCATCGCGCGGATAGCTTTTTCATGTACAAATGATGGTGAATGATATCGTGTACGCATTCGGAGTAAATGTTTAGGACTTTTATTAACTCACGTGCTTAATTCGTCGATCCGCCATAATCATGTCATCGACTTTGTTGATCATTTCCAGCGTGGTGACTTCATTTGGCCTCCCGGGACGCTCATCATCAAAAACACTCGTACGAACACGAACAAATTCAGCTTTCCAAAATTTTACTATTGCTAACGAAGGTGCAACTTCACCATAAACTTCGTCCAAGTCGGCTTTAATTTGCACATTTGTTTTACCCTTTTTGTGGAGGAACTTAATCACCGAACGATACTCGACTTTTTCCATTTCTCCGAAAACTCAAAATTTGCTTGATTTGACGGCTATAAAAACCAAACTAATTGTTTTTAAAACCTAAAATTTTAACAGACGTCATGTCATGAATGGCAAAGGTCAACACCGAAACCATCTCGGTATCAAGTAGCGCCATCCATCAAAGGCTAGTTTAATATCAATCTACCCTTGTATGTTTTCTTGCAGCCTCTGAAGATACAGACTACTCAGTTTGGAAGGCAACAAAAAAGTTAAAACAACAATATTGTCCTCCAATAAGACATATGCAGGATAATGGCTAGAGATAACAAAGAAA